AATTACCAAGATTTCGAATTATCCAGAAGGTAGAAAAAACTCCCAAAATACACGAAAAGAATTTTTTCTAACACATTTAAATTTGAAACTGTAATGAAACAACAATTGATTGTACAAACGTATAAAATTGTTTTAAAGTATTTTTGAAAAGTACATATTATGCAATATAAATATTTTACAGAAGTTAAAAGTCCTATATTAAAAAAATACATTCAATGCATTCATACAATCCTACGCATCTCTTCTTCAGAATAGTGAACCATCCTTTCTGAGCACATGTGGTAATCAAAGGGGCTACGTTACAGGGAAGACACGCAGAGACAAAACAATACAAAACATGAAAGCTCCAACCTGTTTGTAACAGAACTCTACATGATAGTGAGTGTTCGAATTGTCGAGTGTTTTATAAGATAACTTCGAATTATTGCGTATTGTAGTCTGGCCAGCCACAGATTTTACTTCGAATTATTGAGTGTACCCAAATGTATTGTTTTAGTTCGAAATATCAAGAGTTTTTTTAGGGACTGAGCATATACTTCGAATTATCGAAAGGTTCGTATTATCGAATGTTTGAATTATGGAGAGCCGTCTGTATTTAAGTAATAACTTTTCAAACCTAATCTCAATGCATTTTTTAAAAAAATATTGTAATACTTTTATAGTGCTTGGTAGAATTAAAGAGCTTAAGCTTTTGATACTCTATTAATTATTTAAAGGATTGTACTGAAATTTTAAAAAAAATGCCTACTGAATTTTAAAAAAAGAGAACAAAATTTCTCATATTAAATAGCAAAATTACTAAAATTTTTAAAAATATTTTATTGATACCCATGACCTCTGATGTGAGCAACCCTGATCTTTCGTGCACGCACTGAAAAGAATCAATTATTTTAGAACACTGCTTTTTATTTTTTTTTACCTCGAAAAAATGTCTGGTCTCCATGCCTACTCTCACATAGTGACGTAACTAGCATTCTTTATTAAAGAGTTTTAATTTTTTGATGCTGTTGTTTTTACCAACTATGACTAGAGTGGTTTATTTGCCTGAAGGCGGGGAAAACCTCGTAAAGGAATAGACCATAGCTTCTGGAAAACCAGTTGGCCTTCATAACGGCTATTTATCAACCGTAAGAAAAAAATGTATCGTTCATATTCTTTTATACTCAACATTGTTAATCGGTTGAAGACGATATAAGGTTAGGATTGAATATACTTCGTTTCTCGTCTTATCATCCGTGAATTTTAATATTCTTCTGAATTGTTCAGTCAACATACAAACAATTCTGTGATTTAATTATAAGCTGATTAGTTCCACCACTCACAGAGCAATTGAAGTGCGAAAAAGGTTTAAAAGAAAATGGAAGGTTATGAAACATGTCAACTTTACTTAGGAAAGAAAGGAGTCATACCTTGTTATTTATTTCGACCAGAAATATTTGCACCATTATTTTCGTTAATATCGATGCATTTATTTGATATTTTTTGCAAAATCTTTACGAAATTTTTTATTGAAATTTTTTTAAGTGTTACTGTTTATGCAATTCCATTCACAAAACAGAACTTTTTCGAATTAGTCTTAATAAGTCAGAAGCTCTCTTGCATGGTAGAAATCATTCTTATGTTTAAACAATTTAAAAATAATGTTCTATTTTTGTTGAAGAAATTGAATTTTTTTTTTACAGTTTTGAAAAACGTATTTTATTTCAATTTTGTAAGAATGGCTTTGATAGACTCACAAATATAGTAATATCCTTATGATATTGCGTGTTTTTATAAATTTTTTGTAACTACACATTGGGAAACACTTTTGGTTTGAATTGCGAAAATTTTATTGGGGAACGCTCGTAATCGTTACTTGAAAGACTGAAATTAAAAATATATATTGAAAACTGAAAATCACATTTTGATGAACAAATTTAAACCTCAACAAAAATTTGATAATTTTGATTCGTGAATTTTTTCCCCGCTTTAATGATTATTTATGTATAATTTTATAACGTATGCAACAACACTAAAAATTTTTTGCCTGCACAGTAATGCGAATTCATCTTTAAAAATATGATAGGCATGTTATTGTTAACTACAATATTATTGTTTACTAAGTAATTGTTGCATCAAAATTATTATTATTACTAATAACAATAATAGTTTGAAGCATGTTATTGTTTGATTTTAAGGATTGATTGTATAATGATGTAACGTTGCAATTGAGTTTTTGTGTAATCTTCTATCTACTTTTTAAATCTATCAATCAATTAAGCAATGTATTAGATGCATTAACATTTTTTCTGCTCTAGGAACTTGGAATAAATTCTATTGATATTTTCAATTCACATTGATCTCTCTTAAAAATAGTTCAATCAAATCTCCATTTTATATTAGATTATGTTTAATAACATTAATTTCCATGTAAATTCTATTAATTAAGGTAACTCTTTTTGTAATTTCAATCAACAAATACTTTGTCTACAAATCTACAAATTCTCTACAATTTTTTTTGCTCATTTTGAGTTTTTAGAGAAGCTGTAAATTGTTTTGCGCATTTTAAAAACCTGTTCGACTTAACACATTTATTCAACCCCTTTCCTTTATCTTTCACGATATATAGGAAATACATTGCCGAATAAAGAACTATGTTCAAAGAAACAGACATCTGTCAAAAGCCCATGATTTTACACCAAACGTTAGAGCTTCAGGCAAGTTGACAAATGTTAGTTTTAATAAACAAAAATACATGCCTATAAATTGTGCCATAGAAATGCGATTTATTAAAATTGTTAACAAAGTATTGGTCATTCAACAATTTTTAATTTAAACTCCGTATACAATATTAAACTAAACTCAGAGGTACAACAGCCCATAAGGGCCAAGGCCTACTGTGCCCATCTCAATTTTCACGACCTTGGGCGCTGAGTTGCATGAGCAAATGTTCCGGTCAGGAGGTCAGTCATGTACAATATTATTTTATATTTATATAACAGAGTTTTCCCTAGAATTGTAATCTGTATGAGATTCAATTTGTACCCTTTTCAACTAACTACGTTTGGAGAGTGAATGGCCAGCTGAAATATCACTGGACAAAAGGTTCAAAATTACGAGATCTGTTGCCAATAGCTCTCGTGCGGCTTCAAAGAGGAACGTTAATAAATGTAAAATTAACTGTCTGTTAAGTACGCTAGATCAAATTTTTTTTTTGGTTTTTTTTTGTCATTTTTTTTTATTTTTTATTTTTTTTTTTTTTTGGAAAAAAAATGCCTTTGGAGTTTTTTATACTTTACACAGTAAGAAAAACGAATGTTCATTTTAGAAGAAAAAAAATTGTATATAACTTCCTCATGAGTTTTCGAGCTTTCTTTAATGAAATACATTTAATTCATGAGAACGTAGAATAACAAGAATATTAAGAGGCTAAATTAAAGATGCAACGATTTAAATATTTTCTTTAAAAACGAATTTCATATTAAATATAAAATGTATTAGCATTATTACTTATCAACTAATCAGTAAAAATTTGGTAGAACTTCTACAATATTAAACTACAGAATATAAAAATTGGACGTTTAATCATAAAGACAAAATGCTATTCTTGGTTTTAGCTTTTGTGTTTTTATAGTGTTCTTCTTAAGTCCTCAATTGCTTGTACAATTTGCGTGTACATTTCATCTCATAGCTTGACTTAAGGTTTGCTCATTTTGAAATTCTTGCCAATTTTTAATGCAGAAATCACATGTATGATTAACTTATGATTAATAGTTAAATATTATAAACAGTTTTAAAAATCAATCATTAAAAAAACTCAACTCACGAAATAATATCTAATTAAGAACAAAATATTTGGACCTCTTATTTGCTTTCAACAATTTTCTTACATGACTAATATTTTTTATATGATAAATGCTTTCACACATGACTAACGTTATTATAATTGCAACTATACTTTTCGTTTGCTTATGAATGGGGATTTATTATTCATTTATTCCAAATATTGCAAAACTATTGGTAAAGAAATTGAAAAATTTACATAATACCCTGGTGGTTTTTTTTATCCTCTGATTTATCACCTTTCTATTGCTAATTCACAAATACTAACGGTGCACAGGTATGGTACAAACGATAACACAGGTACAATGTGTTTAAAAATAAAATGCTATTTCATTGATTCAGTTCAGAAATTTATGAATTTTGCAATGCACTTTGCGAGCATGACTAAAAGAAATCTACAATAACTTGTTCTTTGACCTTTCTAATGTTTTGTAAGGTTTCTTTCGTAACTTATCTCTAGTGTAAATGTTTTATAAATCTACTTTGATGTAAGCACTTTTTTTCATGGGGGGGGGGGGAGTATCCCTTCTGTGAATAACTTCATTTACCTTATCAAAAATGTAGATTAGTAACAAAAAAAAATTGTTTTTATTTGTTGAAAAAATTAATATTGATTCTAAAAGCTAATTTTTACATTTGCATCAACGATTAAATCAATATAAAATCGTGAAACAAAATAATAAGTTCAGTTACTTTTCGACTCTAATTTTAAGACACTTATTAAAATAAGTTATTTGTTGGCTACCCGATAATATCTGAAATCTTTCGATTCAGATTTTACTAAAATAGATAAAAAAAATTTTAGGACTGAAAATAGCGTCAATGTATTAAATTCCTTGTTCAAATTAATGTGTTAAATGCGACTGAAATATTTCAAGTTTTGAAAATTTAAAAATTAGCTTCATGTTTATGTTTTACGTTAGCTATTTTTCAATTCCTACTATTAGTTCACTCTTTCCCTATATATATATCTTATTCAAATTTTCAATCTTTAATAAAACACTTTCTATTCATCCATACAGGCTCAAATACATTTTTTTAAACTTGTATTGGATGACACTTGATGTTAATACAGATTTTTTAAAATATTAATTGATTAAAAAAATAAAAAATGAATAAATAATAGCAAACAAAATAATAGTCCAACAGCATATATAGAAAGGGAAATCGTTCGGTGTGTGCTTGTAGCGCAAGGGATAGCGCGTTGGACTTCTAATTCAAAGGTCGTGGATTCGATTACCACCTGAGATGGCTAATTTCTGAGAATGTGATTTCTTCTTTACTATACTATTAGAATAATTAAATTTAATTAATAAATAAATAGTAACAAACAAACAAAAAAGTCGTGCACCATATAGGAAGGAAAATGGAAAATTGTAAGGAAAATCGCTTTCTGTTTTATCACTTAATATTGTGATTCTGCTATATGTATATACATATTGATATTAATTGTAACTATTTAATAAAACGTAACTAAAATAAAAAATTTCTTTGTTGACCTAAGTAGGAATTGATTTTTAAAAAAAATTATATTACTTGTTAAGATTTGCATTCTATAGATGAAATTGAAGTCAGTGATTTTTCACAAATGTTTTTTCTTGATATAAGTTTTAGCATTTCTCTGTGGATTGCTCTATTACAGACAATTAATTATTACACAATACAAAAAACTTTCAATGTAATAATACAACACCATTTTAAGAAACGGAAAATTATTTATATTAATAGAAAAACCTGTCAAGATTAACAATGGTAATCGGTTTAAGCAATCAGATCAACTAATTAATCCCATTTGTAGTAAGTTTAAATTATGAAAGCATAATGACAACAAGCTTTTTATTTTTATCTAAATGTACTCACTAGATACTCACACTACATTCAAACTAATACAATTGAATTCATTCAATTGTATTAGTTATTATTGTACTTAGCCGTGTAGAATTTTAAGTACTGAAATGAAAATTTAAATTTATTTGCACAAGTTTTAGTTTATTTGCATTTAAAACTTTGAATTAAAAATTATTATATCATTGGGAAATCACGCAAAAAATGAAGTTTTAAAGTGCCTTTGTTTTGATAAAGAAAGAAGGAAAAAGCGAAAATTGAAGATTGTAACATTTGCATTTATTAAAATGTATTTTTATTGATGGGTTGGCTTGTTGTTATTTTATTGTAATTAAAATATTAGATTGAAAATAAAGTTTACCTGGTCAATTTATTTAGCTTTAAAATCTTAGAAAACAAAAAGGTATTAGAAATAATATGGAAAATATTCTTTTTTCAGATGTTATATCTACATTAGCCACAATTTTTAAACAGTGAAGCGTCTTCAAGTATTTTTAATTCTTCGCTTCGTTTATTTCTGCTTTAATACAGAAAAATTAATTAGAATTGCAAAGCTTTACATTAAATTTAAAAATCATTTAAGGTTCTAATATCTTTGCTAAATTTTCTTTTTTCTTCTTTTCTTTCTTTTTTTCTCTTATTTCTATTCAATTATGCACACATTTTTTAATGAGCGAATTCAGAAATCACGTATTTGTCAATATAATTCTTAAGTCAAATAAAACTTTGAAGTGATTACTAAATATATGTAGTTTCTGAATAATTGTTTTCAAAAATGAAATACTTTAGTAGATGACAAAACTCTTAGTTCAACATTTGTCAATTTTACGCAATACATCGAGAACTCATTTTATTCTGATTTTAATGCAAGCCCGCTGTTTTTATCTTTAGGTGATCTGAACTATTTTCTTGTATTTACTTTGTTTAATTATTTTAATTACTTATTTTCATAAAATTATAAACATTTTTTATTGTTTTTAATAATTTTTTTTCTTCAATTCTCTAAGTGAAAAAGTTCTATTAAATCAACAAAGAACTCATTCTCCCTCCAAATCTTTCTCATTTTTGAACACAACTATGCTCTTTTACAAAAGTAAATTGTCTTTTTCAGTCGTTTTTACGAGCTCTTTTTTATACTATGTACTTCCTGATTCACTATTTGCTTGAATCTATGTAGCGTGTGTGGCTCTTTTAGAGAAGATGGAGGAATTATATTCTAAAAAAATTCATCGACGAAAGTACCGAAGCATAATCTCTATGCCAACAATTAAAAATCTGTTAATCTAGGAATGGGGGAATGAATCCCCAAGCCTTGCCCTTGTGTGCGGCACTGTATCTAAGACTTTGATGAAGTCTTTTTTTAACTACTCAGCATAAGAGTTTTATAAATGTTATACCGTCGAAAACTCTTCGAAACTGTATACAAAACTGGAAAATGAAGTTAGAAGAAATAATGATTACTATTATTTGTTTCTGATTATAAGAAAAATTGATTCATGTGGCTTAAAATAATAAAAATCCATAAATGTGACAAAAAGACATTATTATTTGTTTCTGATTATTAGAAAAATCGATTCATATCACTGAAAATAATAAAAGCACAAAAATGTGGCAACAAACAGCAAGAAAAGAAATTGGAGATCGATGTTGATATCTTCAGAAGCAAAAATGTAATTTGTCTTTTTAAAGATCTTTTTTCACGGTGTAATCAGAAAAAAAGTAGAGAGCATGTATCATTTGATGAAATATGAGAAAATAATAAGCAGCAAATGTGTGGGTTAGAACATCTCTTACATGCGATCTTTATTAAAAAGTAAAAAATAGAAAAGATCGCTAAATTAAAGCCATTTTTTAAAGACTACTGTCTCATTCACCTTTTAGTATTCTATGGACACCTATCTTTGTCAAAGACGTGTATCTAATAACCTTGATAGATGCTTGCGTCACAGAGACGTTTTTTCCTTCCGACACAAGTTCTTTGAAATTTTTTTTTTCTTTTTCAAAAGAGGAATAGGGCCTTTCCGGACATGTTACATTTCTCGTTACAATGAGGCTCGCAGTCAGTGAAAATACCTCTTCGTAATAGCTATTTCCTTTCTGTTATCGGCTTGCGCGCATCAGGTGTGTTTGCCGCTTTAAATATAACAAAGATTGAAGCTTCATATTCATAGATTTCTTTATCTTCGTAAAAGTGAAAAGGATAACATTTAGTCCGATATCAGAGTGAAAATGAATAAAGGCAAGTAGTAATTGTTATTAAAGGAAATATGTTTCCGTTTTCATTTTTGTTTTAGTAACTATTCAATTATACTGTCATTTTGTTAAATGTATCGCCTAAATAGTATTGTTTCTCTCTAATTTTTTTTTTTTTTTTTTTGCTCTCTCATCTCTACCTTCCTTTGCAATTTCTCTAATGTCCTTTATTTTGAAAATTTGCGAGTGGGCTAAGCTAAAGGTGTTCGTATAAACTAGAATTTCGGAAATATTTCATTGTTTTCGCAGTCATTAAAAAAAGAAATGAAAATAAAATTAATAAAACTTTAATATTTAAATTAGTCTTTAAATTGCAGTGACACTGATAATTTGATTATTTGAATCGTGAATGCGGTATGTTTTAATTTTAGAAATCTTTCTTCGAATACTTTTGTTTCATGGATAAAATGATAATTGCTGTACATATATAATTAAATTTTAATTTTTAAAATTAATCCGTCAGATAAATGAGACAAACAATTCAAAAGACTTATTAGATAGTAAAAAGGTGTATTAATTTGCTTTGGTATTATTGGGAATATTTTTGTAAGTTCTATCCAATTATATATCAAGTAGCAAAATTAAATTTATAAATTGAAAAAAAAAAAACCTTTTTTTTATGTTTGTATATTTAGACTAAATAGTTGTTATACATTGAGCTACAAATAAAATTATTTTACTTAATTCTATCCTCACAAATTTTTTTGTGTAAAATTAGATTTGAAAATTTACATAATAAATGACAATAAGATATACAGAAATTTTGATATTTCAATTCAATTGAGCACTTAATATCTGAACTGCTGATTATATATTAGCAACAACTTTTTTCTATAACAAAATTACTCAAATAAGGCAAGCCTTCCCAAATAATACATTTCAATTTTGTTCCAAAAATGTTATCTTAATAATTAATATAATATTAAGGAATCAGTTTTCCCCGCTATATATTTATATAAGACTTTATTTTTAAAATTGTTATAGTTAGATTTTATTTCCTCTTTGCAAATATATTTACAACAATGCGTCAGTAGCATCTTCAAACGGAAATCCGGTATACTTACTTGACTAAGACATGATGATTGTAATGAACAACGCAGCCCATAATATACAGCGCAAAAAGTTATTTTCAGATGACACTTAAGCATGAATTACTGGATTAGAAAAATTTTGAGCAGTTAATTTAGATGTATATATTTAATTTATTGAAAATAGAAATTAAACAAATAACTGTTACAATTAATATTTTGTTAAATTATTTGAACCAACAATTTATTTCTATATTTCTGTGATAATTGACATTCGTTACTATGCTGTTGTAAGTAAAGAAAATGTCTTATTGTGTATTTTTAAATATTTCTATACAGATAAATAAATTTTTCTGTTCTTCAAGCATTACAATATATATTAGGGGAAAATATGGATCGTGCTATAGTTTTATGAAAATTGTCTGAAATCTCATGTGATTAATATTTTTAGTATGCTTAAGAGAAATTTTAAACCAATTCAAAGCCTTTATTTTCGCTTAGAATTATAAAAAAAAATTATAAATTCTTATGAATAAAATATATAAACATATATTGCATATTATGAAAATTATTATTTTTATATATCTTTACTGTCTTCAGAGTGTCTTAGAACAAAGCACTTCATATCCCACGGAGTTCTTACGTCCCTTTTTCCCTGTGACCCAGCTAGAGGTGTGGAGTTGAAGTTAAACTGATTTCGTTTTGAGGCACAGGGGAATACGAAAACCTCACTTAGCTGAACCTCTCTTCCTCTAAAGCAGTAGTCCCTATCTCCATGGCCACGTACCGTGGATCATATAGTACCGGGGGGGGGGGGGGCACAAGGAACATTAAAATATTTCCATTTTATTTACTATGGCGTATTTCTCTGGGGTTTATGTGACTTTTTATGGAAATTACTTTATGTTCATTTTTTGGTGTATTTTATTCTGTAGGCATGTTTAAATACAATTAAATTACAATTATTAAATCAAAACAATCTGAAATCAGTCAACGTCTCCCCCACTCAGGGGGCCGAGAAAAAAAAAAAAAACGTTGACCGGTGCGTGATGATAAAAAGGTTAGAAAGTACCGCATTAAATGGATCTAATGAGTGTAACTTTATTTCTATTGTGAAATAATTCA